AAAATTATTTTGATTATGTCTTGATTGAGCAATTAGGCATCATGCAATTTTCCATGTGTATCATAATCGTAGAACCGTTCGCGCATTCGTACAGTTATTCATTTATGCTCTCTCTCTCGGATGCATTCTTCGAAAGGTTTCTTTCTTGCGCATTCACTGAGCATTTTCATTTCACATTTCATTTCACATGAATTGTCGTGTGCACATACAAAAGAGTCAACTGAATGCATTTCATTGCTTATCTATGAAACGTACTTATTAATTCTTAATGAGGCAGAAAATTCATTGAAATGTTATTCATTTATTACGATTCACTTCTCTACAGTTGTCGACTGGTTTTGCTCAGCAATTTCGTTTGTAATTTCAATCTGAGTAGATAGATTGAAATGAAGAAAAAAAAGTGGAAAAGTACAGAAAAGCAACTCGAAGACGTGTTTGCGAAGAGAAACAACAACTCACCGATAGCGAAACGATTATCGTGATAGTTATGAATCGAGATCAAATGGGATCCACGGAAAAGGCAGGAGAATTCGGCTGATGGCCACATTGTTTCGTGGTCGAAGAATCGATAGCATTTTTTCGTGAATGGTGAATAACGCCATCCTGGGTCGCAACGACTAGCAAACGCTGCTGTAATTCATACATATTCAATCACAGATTATTCAATTAGGCAGAAACTGCTCTTGAAGGATATGAGTTGGAGTGNATCCGTACACTTCTTTCAAGAATTCAAGCAGTCACTCAACAATCAATCGTATCTTCAATTGCAAATGATCAATCAAAAAATTTTGAGTTGTCTTTGTAAGCATCAAGAACAGTTCCGTTAAAGTCAGTCAGTTGCTCACATCTTCACTGAGAGCGTGGAAATGGCATTCAAGAAGGAATGTTTTAACCACTCCACTAAATGTTGGTGACAATTCGATAATTGAAATGACGGTATGATCAGTTTCAGAACAATGCGTCGGCGGTGATAATTAGAAAAGAATTCAGTGTCAAATTAGACTCGGTGGCGTCCGGAAATCGAAAGAGTGCACCGTGAATATAAACGACTTGTTTATGCGTTAAGGTGATCGAGCAAGGGTTGTGGATAGGTATGCATGAAGTACAACAATAGTTATTACAATAGGTAACCATATGAATGGCAAATAATAGTATTGATAATTGAAATAAGATGTTAGATCGTACCTGAGAATGCGATTGCGAGTAAAAGACAGAATGCAATCATAGTGATGCAACCTGCTCGTAAACAATGATCAGACTGAGGTCAATCTGCTCAGCAGCAACTTTATATAAGCAATTAAGTGGCACGTACTCATGGATCGACTGCAAAACCGGTCCTTGAGGATTCGTGCAGTGATTTTGGTGATGCGATGATGGGTTGTGCTCTGCTACTGCTGCTGGGGTTGTTGCAGGTAGGCAGAAAAACATTCGTACAACCCACCGGAAACGATGATTTCGGATGGAGAGAAGATAAAATTGTTTTTATGCATTTGCTTGGAAAAGAAGGCGTTCTTTTGTGTCATATTTGTGTGTTTCTTGATTCCACACCCATGTTCTTCTGTAAAGAATATTCCCTCGCAGATTTATTGCACTTTATGAGAAGAATATGAGCAGCAACAATAATAATGTGATGATACACGCATGCAACTTGCTTTATGCTTAAGAAAAAACTCACCGAATTCTACATCGAGCTCAAGTGTAGTCTGAGGTCCCTAGTTGAATTCTGCTTGAATTCATGATGGATTCTTTACTCGACTGCTGTTCATCGGTTTGAATAGGTGTCCGACCGTTCTATTAATCCTCATCCAATTCGAGTTTTATCCAGCATTATTTGCTAACGAGCTATCTCAGCTCAAAAGAAACTTTATCACTGAAACAGGGCATTAGGTGTTGCAAATTATGGTGTTCATGATGAATTTGATCTCGATGTTTGAATTTTGCGGTGAAGTAAGTGCTGAAAACAGTCAGCAATTGAATTTTCAAATATGCTAATCATTTTCGTCCAATTGAACTAATCATATGTCAACGTAGTGAATGTACCTATTTCTTCTTAATGCTAACAGTATTTTTCACGCATTTTTTGATTATCATGCATGTTCTAGTGCATTAAGTGATGGTTTTTGAATGCTGCTGTTTCGTTGATGGGGATATCGCTGCAGGGGATATGTGCATTTGCACTGATAAGCATGATTGTCGTGTCCAAATAGATTCTGCAACGTGCGCAGTTGGATTCTATTGGCCTTTCGACGAAAACCGAACAACCAGCAACGACGAATTCGGTCGAGAGAACTGTCAGTGGAGTAAGGACTGACAAAGGTGAATTCAACAATTCCGAGAGATGTGACAGAATAGTTGCTGAAGAA